TTCAAGTCAATAAAATTATTATTTCTTTCATTAAGGCCAAAATAAACTTTTTATTTATTTAAATTTGTTAATTTATAATAAATGATAATAATAAAAATTATTATTAAAAATGCACTCTAATATTGTGATCCTTTGATATTTAATTAATATGCAATTCTAATGAGTGTTCACTAGCACAATAATGCATGCAGAATCGATATTTAACCATTATTAATAATTTGTTTATAACAATTGCTTAAGCAATTATCGTCGAATGTTAAATTGATATGCTTATTGCCTGTAAATACAGTGACAATGCATAATCGTAACGAAAACCACATATTGCACGTTAATTTTCCATTTGTTTATCAACAAAATAAAAAAATTATCAACAAATATTATTGTTGAATGTTTATGATTCGTTGGAAAAAAATTTAAGCTATAATCAAATTCGATATGTGTAAAAAAGTATAAGAAATCAAAATTTCACAATTGTTTAAAATTTGTTTATAACAATCGTTTGTTATAACAATTGTCGTTAAAAATTAGAATGATATGATTATTTCCCATCAATCCAATTAAAATGCTTAATTGTGATGAGAACAACATATTGCACGTTAACTTTTCATTTGTTTATTAACGAAACAATTATTATTATTAACAAATATTAATTTTGAATTTTCATACTATTTTAGTGATTGTAAAAATAACCAATGAGCTGAGATAGCTTTCGGCTCACAAAAATTGCAATGATAATTCAATAAATGAATAATTAGGAAATTTTATGTTATAACAAATTGATAATGAGAGACTTCAATTAGCTGTATAATGTTTAAACAAACAGCTAATTAAAAAAAGGAAACGGCATTGGATTCCTCATGATCTCCCGAATCTGACACTATTTTTGGATTTTTTTTCCGTGCTAAAATCCCTTGACACTTTAATTTAGATCATTTTTTTTCAGTTTGGTACCACTGTGCGCCGCCGCTATATATATAGTGATGTATATTCCTGAGGACGAAGTTCTCGTCTCGTCCTACGCGTGTAAACTGCGCTGCTATATATCGGGCCCGTCTGGCTGTATAATAGAGGCTCTCGTTCGCCACGCGATAATGTACGCAAAAATTTTCGACATCCGTCATCTTCGTATATGGGAGAGACGACCGAGGATAGTTTCTTTGAATTTTTTGAATTTTAACCT